ACGAATAACGCATCCCAAGGAGGGAAGGTCTGCCGTAACGAAACGCTGCGACTCCGTGGTACGCCCGTATACACGATCAATTTCCTGAAGCCATGACCCCATAAGCCCCGCCTACTCCTGGCTCACCCGGCGTCATTGTCATGCGTTTCGCCAACAACAACAACAAAAAGGGTGGATTCACAAGGGTTGCTGTTCAGTGCTCCAGACGCTACTGACCATGTATATATGGTTAGTGAAAACTCTACAGCTCCTCTACCACAACCCATCAGCAGTACGTGACCTGGAGAACTACATGATACTACATGTCGCTTAAATCCACGCGGGAACAAACCAGAAAGGGCAACCAGGCCAACCATGCGTCGGTGTCTTATTCGCTGCTTTTGGTGTATTTTGTGGCGGGAAGTACGAGCGCCACTTTAAGGCCCGGCATATGTACTACAGGCGCTCTCCAGGCGGGTCGAGCGGTCTCCGTGCGGACGGGACCACGTTTCTTGAGCCGATTCCGTGTGGACAGAAGACTGTTTGATATCGGACTAAGGTTCGTTATCGTCTCCTTTGTGGCCGGGCTTATTCTGTAGTGTGTGAGCTTTGGAGGGTTAAGAAGACCTGATAAAAGAGATATAATTATAAGCAAACAGTACCATTTACCATACCATTTCATCTGGTAAGTCCTTTTCAAAATCCCTTCATTTTGTGATGAGATAAGGCTGTGAGAAATAAGAGAGGGTCTCTGAGTAAAGGCAAAGCTCAGAGGACGTATTAAAATCAAATAACATGACTTTGTGTTCAGGTACAACAGAGTTTAAAACAGCTTCAGGTGGATCTAATTTGATCAGTAAGACTCCACTTAGAAGAAGAGCAATGAATGCAGGAATAACTTTAAAAAAGGATCGTATTTTATTTTGTGGAGAAATTTAAACCTAGAAACGGTCTGATTTTGTGAAACGCGTGAGTCTGTAGGTTGAGACGTACTAGGGATGGGAATTTGAAAGCAAATGTATATTTGAATATTCGACCCCCCAAAAAACGGTTAACCGGTTAACCGAAATGTACATATCCTATAAAAAAATTGGGTAATTTTTTTTTTGGCATAGTTTGACCTCTACACGGCACTCACTAACCTGGTCGAAATATTTCCACACATTACTCCTTTTTGACGCCATGTCTGTTGTGTCGGACTCTTCTTAGAGTGTAAATAATTACCGGACTATGACTGGTCAAATATGTTGAATACCGGCAAAACTAAATCTCTCCTGTCAAAATGTCTTTGTACTTTGCCGCCACACACGGTTGCCAAGCAACGGTTATTGTTGTTTAGGCTGGCCCCTCATGTGTCGCGAGTGTTGACAGGGGGCGGGGGAGCACGCTCATGAACTGTTAGCGCCGGAACCTCGCAACGGCTGCGGAGCGCATTTGCGCCGCGTTTGGGCCTAAGATGAGGTTTGAGTCTGCGTGGTCTGCGTGTAGGGAGGGGCAGCAGCCATATCATTAGAACTAACTAGATCTGATGGATTTGGACATAAACACGAGTGAAGTATAACCGGACGCGAGAGAGAGAGATCAGCTGCAGCTCTGCCCGCTGTGAGGGACCGGTGAGCGGAGCAAAACACACCTTTAGACGTCAACTAACACATTTAGCTATGGCACTGTCGTATACATTGAATTATTCAATTTGATAATATGTAATCAACTTAGGCATCACTCCCAAAAAAATAAAAATAAAAATCATTAATACAAATATTCATAACTCATATTCGAAAACCTGAATAATTTCAAATATTCTATTAATCGTTCCCATTCCTAATAATCACTGTGAATATTTCACTGACTCAGCTTCGTGTTAAAGTTCATTTGTTTCTTCCTCTTCTTGTGGAACAGCTTATCTTTACTTTGATCTCTTTTATACTTTTGGTTTGAAGCCAAAATACTTTTTAAATAATGAGAGAAAGATGTGTTGTTTTCTCATTGGTCACAAGAAGAAAAGAGAGTTTTTCCCCGTGAGTCATCAGGGCGGTTACACACACACACACACACACACACACACACACACACACACACACACACACACACACACACACACACACACACACACACACACACACACATACACACACACATACACACACAC